CAGATTCTAAAAATAACTTCCGTTACATCCCATCACGTAAAGGTTTTTTGCAAAATAAAAACAAATATTTAATAAAAATTCTTATTTATTACAATGAACTAAATATATTATATTTTCTTACAACTAATCAAAAAATTGTTTCTGATATTTATACACAATTTTAGGTCTACTCTTATTTCTTATGAAACCTTTTCTTCTTTTTGATGCTCCTCCAAACTCGTTTCCAATTTCCTTCTCTGGTTTCTCGATTGAGCATCTAACAGTAGTCAGCTAACATATTGACATCGCATTTTCCTTGGTAACGTCTCTCGATATCACGAACATCCTGGTGAAATCTTTCACAATGTTCTTCATTGTAGGCTCCAAAGTTTTCGGGAAAATAGTCAATATGGAAATGTAAGAAATGAACTTTTAAGCTCATCTTGAATCCTTGAGCTTCATACGCTGCTGCCAGCATGCATTGTACAATGGTTTTGTAGTCAGGGTCCTTAGTATTCCCCAAAAACTTATGCACTACATTTTTGAAAGAGTCCCACGCTTCTTTTTCTCCTATTGTTTCCAGAAATCTGCTTTGTCTCGATCTCCAAGTTTCAATTTGAAATATGCAAATTAAACTTTCTTCACAAACTCACTTATGTTTCTTTGTTGATTTTTCACTGTGTATTCACCAAAAACATAACAGAAGCTGTCGGGAGAAATTACACAACCTCTGCGAGCCATATTCCAGAAATAAAAATACAAGCGCAGTAGCGTTCGAATGCTAGATATAAACTGAGTGTGGCATTAGATGGCCAGCAAGATACTGAACTTATTTAGCTTGTTGAAACCTGATCTAATCCAACAGCAGGTTGTTTATATTTATTCCTAGTATTTTGGATAACATGTCAAAACATGCTCAACCTCACCAATAATATTACTCTCTATCAACTTTTAACCTCTATACGATCTCTACCTTCTCTATACGATCATGCAACCTTCCTTCTAATGCTAAAAGTACTTAACCCACCTCTCCCTACCACTACTCTCTTCAACCATTAACATTTTTATTTATTTATTACCAAGTCCAGCTTTAATTGATAGAATTAATGTGAGAAGTCTTCGTTTTAAGGCTATTTTTTAAAAAAAAAAATAGTAAATTTTAAGTTAACTAGGAATTTTACGCTAAATACAAACAAAAACTTGAGTGTAACAAAAAATTTGACGAGATGAAATTTTTTGGTATTTTTTTCGCTTTTACCAAGTTGAAATCTGTAAGAAAATGTATAAAAATCCTATGCAGTTTTTTACTTGCAGATCTGTGTAATGGGTGGACCATCGAAAATTCGGAAATTTACAATACGATGTCGAATGCGCAAATTCATTTATTTGTAACTAAAAATATTCTCGAAATTTCACCAAAAAATGCATTTGTGAAGATACCTAAATGAAATTCTTACGCAAGAAACAAAACTTGTACAATTAACACAATTTGTGTTAATTGTACAGTTATCATTATTATCGTGTCAGCGAAGCGGCAATAAAATATTTACTACCATTTTGCACAACATACTTCTGCGAAAGCGGATTTTCGGCCGTGACAAACATGAAAACATCGTCACCGACATCGACTCGAAAATGACACGAGACTGAATCTGATCGAAAAGCAACCAGATTTTACAAAGTTGCGCAAAGAAAATCATGCATATTTGTCGCATTAAAAGTAAATAACCTTATGTTATTTTCATTATTATTAGAATTGTATTTTAGTAAATTTAAAAAAGAAAAACTTATTCTATTTATCACTAGCTGTCTACCCACGGCTTCGCCCGCATTATATCGAATTTTCTCGTAGGAGTAAAATATTTTCTCGCAGTAAAATGCAGCCTATGTCCTTCTCCAACGTGGAAGCTATCTCCGTGCCATATTTTATTAAAACCTGTTCTGCGGTTTAGACGTGAAAAGATAACAGACAGACAGTATTACTTTCGAATTTATAATATTAGTACGGATTAATATAAATTTCTACTATAAGGGGTACGCGAGTTTGAGCTTATACGATTATATGAGAAAACTGCATCAAAGCATGATTGTAATCAAATCGATTTGTCATTCACTCAGAAGACAATTCTTACAAACTGTTTCTATTGAATTTCATTTTGAACTGATCAGTGTTGCTTTAAAAGAGATACGACTGAAATCTTGATTCATTGCGCTTTCCTCTTGTTAGAATTACCTTTATTTGTTATTCTAAAGTTGTTAATACTGATTCAGCCATTATAATACTACACAAAATATACCGGTTTACGAGTATACGTTAAATGTATTATTGTTCAGTAAATTATTTTCAACTTACGTTCTGGAATTTGCCGACGTCGTTTGCTAGAAGATTTACCATTTGTCCCATATTTGATTTTTCCAGAGAAGAAGAACTTAACCTAATTGCCTGTATATGGAAACGTATAAAATAAATATTTTTTCGAAAAGTATATATAATATTAAATCTCATTTAACATTACAAATATAATTATCAGTAAATTCTCTAAAGAAACTAATAAATTAAATTTTCTAATACTTGTTCATTTACGAAATTTGACAAAATTAATTTTATTAGACAAGAATCCATGTAAATAAATGATTAAATTTAGAAGTTGATATATTTTTATTGTAATATTTGTTTCTATAAATTTGGATTTTTAAAATAACTGAACTTTTAGAACTTAAAACAATTTTTATTGTTAGAAAATTGTTATAAAACTAAATTAATTGCACTCAGTACTTGTTCTAACAAATTTGTTTCTCATTCGTTGTATGTCTACGGCGAATTTTGGGCACTTAATAAAAGATTTTATATACGAGTATTTTCTGTCTTTTGATTATTTATGTCGAAAATCAAAAGACAAAAAATGGTCATTTTACAGCTGATTACTAATGTGAGAGCAGTGAATTACGTGAAAAAAATTTACTTGAAAAGATCGTTAAATCAATGAAAAAAATCACAAAAAATTACTTTACAAATTTTTAAAATGTGGAATATTTAGGGTGATAAGACAACAGTTTTTTTAACCTGTAATTATTGTATAAGATGAGACAGAGAAACGAAAGATTATAAAGACTTAATACCTTAAGAAGATGGTTTATATAAAAAATTCCAAATGTATCACGTTAAAAGTAATTAAATGCGTTTTATTTGTAGCAAACGACATGTTTGAGGTTATCTTAATTTTTGCGGGGATATTCTTTTACTCTTTTCTTCAGGAAACGCCTTAATGGTGAACGCACATTGTGCATCTATTTATTGATTCAAAATTACTACTTGTTCTTGACAATATACCATCGTTCACGAAGTTTCTTCTATTCAATTAGTACATAGAAAAATCGACTTTGAAACCTCTCGTTTCTCTGCCCTATCCTGTATATTTTAACCAATGATGGTAGCAGTAACAACTGAAATAATTATATTTATGAATTTAATATAAAAAGACATTAAGTGTAACATTCTGTTTCATATTATCAATATTTACTGTTAATTCTGATGAAATGCAATAGTTTCACACGATTAAATCGTCAGTTATCTTTTAGCAAAGTATCGTCCACAAAGTGTTACTGGAGAATGTCCAACAAGAAAAAAAATTAATAGAATTTTTAGCAGAAAACAATGGTTATTGACAATTTTTGAGTATATTCAGTATTAATTCATTTCTACACAACTACAATCAAATTATCTTGAAAAACAAAATGAAAATCTACGAGCTAGAAAAATTTTATTACAGAAAACATTTTTTTTTCAAATTTCTCCAATCTACTTAATCACAATACAGCATATATGAATAATATAAAAGTAATATTTTACTCAAAATACATTATAATTGTTACCTACCTTTCTATAAATAAGAGTGCAGAAAGCTACCTTCAGTTTCATTGAATAATATTCTGTCATAAACAGATTAATATTATGCGTAAACGAATAAATCGCAGTAGCAGCAAAAAATCCTGCAATTGTAACATAAACGTTGTAGTGATTCCATTCCTGTCTGTTTTCAAAATAATGTACTGCTGATCCTACAAAATAAGCTTGACCTGTAACTACAGATGTATCCTGTAATTATACATAAATATAATTTATTTCAATTATTTTAATACTAACTTTACCTCTATATAATCGAGTGTCATAATACCTGAATTAGTACAATTAGCATTACAATCAAGTACTTCCAACCAACAAAACGTAAGGCAGCTTTCACTATGCTCGGATTTTTCTTCTGCAATTCCTTTTTCCATTCTCTGAAAATAAATATGGATGAAGCATTTAATTTAAAAACAATATTTAATAAATGTGTTTCAACGTTTTAAAAGTAATGTTTAGGGCTATGTAAATGCTATTTTCTTTTAAAATTTTTAATGCAGCCCCACGAAATCTGGAATGTACAGTAATAACTAGTCACACTAGTATCCTGCGAATCCGAAAATTATTAAACAAGTGTTTTTTTATGATCCCGAGCCACAATAAAAATATGGTGTATTTCTGTGAACGTTACTATACGACAAAAGACAAATATAATAATAACAAAGTACAGTCATATAATATTTCACTGTAAGACAGAGTAAATAGCACGCTTAAACGAATCATAGACATATGGAATGATCGTTTTCAGATGTTTGCTGTGAAAAGATTACATGTAAGTTATTAAAGATTTTTTTAGATACTAAATTCTAATATTTACTCATTTTGAATATTTCAGTTTGCACCGTAAATGTTTACGTACTGAATTTTTCAATTTTGAAAACTATAATTAACTTTCTTAGAATTTGTAAATTCTCAGTATCTAAAAAAATAAATTACAATACGTGTATATTGATAAATTGAAAATTTGTTATAAACATATTTTTCTATTTAATATAAAACATTATATATTGTTAATTATTATTCATGTATTTAGTACAAAATAAATTATCCACTAACCAAGTAAGACCACCTGCATGTCAAAAGGGATTATGTTAATGGCAAAAGGGACGCAACTCAAGAAACCAAACTCGATGAACGACAATTGTTCACATTTATAGAGGTCAGTATTGCTATTAAATTTGTTTGGAATAATATTGCTCCTTGCATTAACGGAATAACGGCCCGTATGGCAAAAAGGGCATTTAAAGCCACTCTAATCGCCTTCCTCTTTACTTTCAACTTGTGCTTTACAATGCACAAGTTCCCAAAATGCTGGAAACACACTGTTGTAAAATTCATACCGAAAATTGGGTCTTCCAATTTAGTCAAAGCCACAGATCTGAAGCAGAATAGCCGTTTGCCCATACTGGGCAGGGTTCTTGACGGATTTCTGATTAATATAATTAACTACCATTTCAGGAATAACAAACATCTACATCCCCATCAGTTTGAATTCGTCTACGGGAGCTCCACCTATCATGATATCCGAAGGGTAATCCAATTCATAGACAGCGCTTAGAAAAATGAAGAACACGTAGCGTACATCTTATTAGATTACAGGAACGCGTTCAACTCTCTATCGTTGCCATCCCTTTTTTTGCAGCTCAAAACTTTTATCTGTCCACAAAACATATTCAACTGCTCACCAGCTACCTGAAAGGCCGTACTGCTTGCATACACGAGTTGGGCACACCTGTCATCTGGCCTGTTGCCCAAGATGTCTTCAGGGTTCCTGGTCCAGGGTAGCCTTTGCAGTATCATGTACAACGGCCTTCCCTCACGCGATCATTGTCACCTTGGCTACTTTGATGATACTTTGGTCACAATGTCCAATAAAAACAGTAAGAAAGCCAATTTTTTCAGCCAATATTTTCCAGCCAATTGGAAGAAGCCAATTTTTTTTCTCAGTAAAATTTCAGAGTGAAGCAACTTTAATAAATTATTCATTAACCTAGTAAGACCACCTGATTGTTAATGTCAAAAGGAATCCAACTCAAGAAACCACACTTGATGAATGAAAGAAGTACTAAGATAAGATACACCAACAGTATGAAATACTTGGACATTACTATATATCAGGGTTTGAAATGCTATATTCACATAAATGTGAAAAACGCTTGTGGAGAAGGAGAACTTTTCAACCTTCTATGCTTTTTTGCTGGAAAAAACTGGGGGCCTCAACAACAAGAGCTTAACAAGTATTTAACGTCTGGCCATCGAACTGGCTATCTTTTATGGTGCGCCATTTTAGGGGGACACAGTGAACTAAGTAAAGTAGTACAAGTTAAAAAAATAAAATATACAAATTATTTCACACTTTCTAGAACATTTCAACAAACGATTCGCATTGTTAAACTGATATTATTGGAACTCAGAAAAATTTCAATTCACAATTTGTGTGTCAACCTACGGTTTGAAACTAATGGCTTTGCCACTAGTGAAAACCATAATATCAGTAGTGACAATTTCTTCATATATGACAAAAGTACTAATTATGTTATAAACTATTATCTTTAGTTATTATTTTTCCATTAAACTATATACAATAATTTTAAAAATATTCAATTTAATCAGAATTTTATAACTAATTCATTAAAACAATATTTTAATATTAACACTTACATAAAAAAGTTAATAATTACACTTATATATAACACATAACTCTTGACATTTAAATTAATTTATTTAAATTTTTTACACATGTTACTTTGTAGCAGTGTTTTATATGATACAAGACATTAATTCTTCAAATTTATGTTATTCGCTGCAATATATACAATGATTTCAATTAATCATTCACACGTTTATAGGAATGAAAACGAAATCATACAGGTTGTTAAACAGTAGGATAAGTAAGCTGTTTGCAAAAACAAACTTTTAAATACTTTGTTTCACTTTTTTCGTAACAAAAAATACAATAAATCTTTCACAAATGTCAAATTGCTTACAAACTATTCAGAGAAATTAAGAGGAAAAATCAGGTAGCTGCACTTGAATTAGTTTTAGTTCGAATGACAAAAGTTATACTTGTTTCAGAATAATTTCAGTAAATAAAATTTCTATGTATATCATTTGTAAAATGCCATGATTAATGGTACCTGCTCTATTTTGTTTTCGACCAAATAGGTCGAAAACAAAATAGAGCAGGCACCATTAATATTCCTAAATCATCAAAATGATTTAGTAATATTAATTAAGAAACATTAGCCAAACTTTATTATTTATTTTATTTGATGTTTTTTTCTGTTACTTTTTCAGATCTGTTTATCCTGTGCACAATAATAAATTTTTCTTAGCGAGCCTGTCGTAGATTCGGATCACAATGAGACAACCAGTGCAGAGAAAAATCTTGACATATTAAAATGTCTAAACTGCAAACAATTTAAAAGAGTTTTAGTCACGTTAGATACAATTCTTTATCGCCGAAAGTGGTACTCTGCTGCATTAACTGCTGAACTAGGACTCATTAAAAAGTTTGAAAATATTCTAGTTATTTTGAGCGGATGATTTATTAATTCTTGCGATATAACGACTAAAATAACGTCTATTGTGTATGTGAGTTCAATAAAGAGTTTACTATGAATCAGCTACGTACAGTACTTGTTTTAACTTTCTATAACGTGAAACATAAGTGTTTCATTATAGAAGTAACAATAAGTAATTAATATGTGAAAAAATAAAATAAATGAAACAATATTAGCTTTTGTCTAATTATTTTGTTAAACTTGAAAAAATCATAAATGAAGCTGAAATATTAGGAAATAATAACTGAAATCTGGATATTCAAAACTATATAGTAAACTTACTTTTGAAGTAGATCCCCAAGATACTCTGAGGTGTGATATTGTGAGGCTCCTTGTAAATCTTCTTCTCTCAAAATTTGCTTTCTTCCTTTGTTTATTATAGGAAAAACCCAGCTGTAAAATAAACAGGTTACTTATTAATTAATTTTGTTTAACATAATTTTTCTACTGATAATTCTCAAGCGACTAACTTACAACGCATTGAACGATTTAATCCATGTAAATCATTTATCGTTATCACTGTGACAGTTTATACAGAACGAATTACCTAAAGCATTTTAGTATAGCAGCATTAATTAGCGTATAATGTATCATTACTGACTACTATAATTACAAATGTGCTTGACAAACATTCTTGAACAAAAAGCTTTATTGAATTAATGCACTTGTTACTTTATATGTAAGACATTAAAATATTTTCGCACAAATTGCATTTTTCTACTTTTACTGTTTTTTTCCTTAATCACTTATTTAAGTATAATATTTTATACGTCATAAAATTTCGATGTTCTTTAAAAAAACACATGCATAAAAATTAAAAAATGAACACTTCAAGCACACATCTGACATCTGACACCAACACAGTTCATATATTATAATTCGTTATTTAATTATTAATTAACCCCTTAAGGACATTGACATTTTTGATATTATATAATTATTAATTTAATTAAACTTAAAAAATACTTAAAACTGAAAAAAACGAAAGAAATGCGTTTATTTTGAAGAAAAAGCTTCAAATTATATTTTCCTTTGTCTCCTTTTTCTGTGAAATATAACACCAATGAGACATTGTTTACACAGCTGGATGACCTTGAGAACAGCTGGACTCGGATTTCCCGGGACAATTTCATAGAAGTCTCCGGAGGCGATTCGTTTATAGTTGAGTGGCTACTAGTTGCCCGTATATTTTTAAATATTTTTAATAAATTAAAATTTTTATTGCAATTTCCGACTTTCCGGCTTAATTAAACTTATATAAATTAAATCTATTAATTAAAAAAATTAAAAAACTATCGAAGGTTGTTTTTGACATCATAAACTAGCTTTAAAAAACAATTGAAAAGAAAAAAAGCGTGAAGCGCGCGTCATTAAATGTTTTTTAAAATCGCGATAAAATTTTTTCGTGCGGGCAAAAAATTTTGAAAAAATTTGAGGACCTAAAATACATTTAAAAAATTCGAAAAAAAATGGGGGCCCAAACGCCATGCAACAAAGTTTAATAGAAATTCAAGGTTTCAAACATTAAATTTAATTATTGTTATAGTTTAAACTTGAAATTTGTTTCAAATCTACAACTATTTACAACGCATATGCGATATTGTCACAACTAAATAGTTATGTCTGACTGAGTGTGCTTTGAACAAAATAAACTTAGAACATTGCTGTTCTGATACTGAATTAATTTAATTTAATTAAATCAATAATCAATGCTATAGTACTCATAGAGTGTATTAGCAGCACAGTACATTTGAAGCTCGTTCTGTGTATATAAATCGTGATATTAGTGTCAATCAGTATATCAGTAAACTGAAATACTGATTGACTCACTGATTTCAGAACAGATAGCTAAATTCAATTCCCTGAAGTATCAAACTATACTAATTGCTGCTGTGGGGCCCACTCAGCATTCATTGAAAGTGTTGCATTCCTATAAGGAATACAATACCTACTCACCGCTTCACTTATAAAAAGTATTGTAACTACAGGAACAACAAATGGACAGCCTGTACAACGACAGCCAGCAAGATTTTAAGTTTTAGAACCTGATGCAGCTATTAGCAGATATAAATACTTTCAGGAGGCAACCAATATCGATATCAGTATCGATAGTGATTGAACTTTGTGGAAAGCCTTAAAATACGTGTCATTAATACTAAGAGGATTTGCTCAGTTGTTTCCAATACTAACGATTCTTAATTCACTTTTCAATAATGTATGAATAATCATTTACTAGAAAGTAAACTAAGATCATCTGTTTTGAAATGAGTCTTCAAAGAATTTAATTAACTGAAAACAACCATTTTATAAACACTGTATAAATTTTCTCTACAAAAGTCAAATATAGAAAAACCTTCAGATACCAGATAAAAATATTTTTGTTAAAAAATTTAAATAAATTCATAGATTTTTTTGACTGGCCCATAGAATAACGTTTCTTTTCTGTGGTTAAGAGATTTGTTTTAAATACTACTTCAGATTATTATTTGATTAAATTATTCACTCAATGTTATATACGTATTTGAAGATTTGCGAAGTTTAAATATATTTATTTAATAAATATTTTCATAATCATAATTTCCCATATTAATTGTCACGTATTATAAATGATATTTAAATTATGTAAGGTATCGTTTTAACAAGTAATTTCTAACGAGAAAAACTTTAATATAATATAAAAAGAGTCTATTCTTGCGTTAAATATAATGAATATTTTTTCCCGCATCTATTGAGTGATTATTTGTATATTTAATAAAACTTTCGGTCAATTACGTAGAGTATACTTCAAGGTAAAAAGGTTTAACGTCTTATCTTTGTTCGGAAAACCTTGAAGTTTCGTTAAAATGCAATAAAAAGGTATTATAAAGCTAACGTAAAGATTCGTCGCTAATTTACTTTTAACTTAAAATGCTTTTTCATGTACTTAAATTTCTACAAATTTATGCAAATGAAGAATTACTTGCGAATTGATAAATGTATAAAAAAATAATAATTTCCTACGTTAAAAAAATTCAGAACGAATTGCTTAAATTTCCCGGAAAAAAGTATCAAGAGATATCAAAATAAAGTTAAAATTATATGTAGTATATTTACTTCCGCGGGCAAAGTCGCAGGTAACAGCTAGTAAAAAATATTATTAAAGAAACATCCGTTATATTATTTATTATAACGTGTCATAAACGTTCTTTCACAATACCCTTACAATCAACCATAAAGTAAATGATTTTGTTTTATAGGCTCTTTCGAACAGCGGTGTCGTTTTCTATTATGGAAGATATGGAAGACTCCATACCTCATATTTTTGAAAGTATGGAATTTTATACATCAAAATATTGAAAAAATTATAATTTAATGCAAGGCAAGCCAATGCACTTGCTCTCTGTATGAAAACAAATGTTTTCCTTGGATGCTGACCAATCGAACTCTTACATAATTCAGTGTCAAAATTTTTCTAACTTTAAGCAATTCATCACTCAATAGGTAGCTCTAGATGCGATTTTTTTTAAATATTGAACTTAAATAAATTATTTCTTTACTTCAAATTAGCAATTACTATTAAGGTAGTTGGTGCCAAATGTCATTTTCTTACGAAAGCGTTGAAACTCGAGGTATCAGTTATTAATATTAACATACAAAAGTAGTTTAAGTTTTGTTAAGATTTAAGTGCGGTTATCGAGATAATCAAGTTTAAAATTGCATATTTTAAACTTGTAATTCAAAAGCAGTAAATAATTTAAGAATATATATACTTAGAATATTTTATTTACTATGTAAAGGGGGGTTCTGCTTTCAAAAAATTCTATATTTCAACTTTTAGGGAACCGACACCCATGCTTCCGCGCACGTATTTATGTCAATTGTCTAAAAGTAACGCCACGTAGACAGACTTCAAAATTTTTCTTGTAAAAAATTGTCTTTCAGTAACTGTGAAAGTGCGATTCGAATACTTCAAATCATTTTTGCACAAATCTTTTCAGTTGTATATTTTTACATTTTAAACTTTTGTTTACAAATTATTTCAATGACTGATACAGTATTAAAAGAGCATTGGATTCAGCTTTCTTGAGGGTTAATTTTGGTTTGATTAGCTGTGACGACCTCTTGCTAATCTATTTTGCATATATCTTATTTTCGTATTTTTCTACGTAAATAAATGTAATTAATTCATTTCATTAATTTTTATTTGTTAATCTTATTTTATTATTTTATGTTTTATTTATTACTAAATTAATGGTAGCAAGTCGTCACATCTTGTCACAGTTAGCTAACTTGTCACAGCAGTTGTCTATGTTTTAGAATAATAACTTTCATATATCGGAATACGCAGATTGTATTTGTAATTATATTGTTTTTTACTCGATATTTTATTTATGTACTAAAGTTGTATCATGTACAGAATATTGCGTATATTTCGTATGTACGGACTTTGTTATATTTACTGTATTCGTTTCTAACGCACATATTTGTTCGTTGTTTTTATCTTCATTTTGTTCACCGTACATAGCGTATTTGTTCATTGTACCAAAAAAATTATAAATAATAACTCCTACAGAAAATTCAGTTATTAAAAATATATTCAGAATGTATGAGTTGTTAAAACAGGTCGAAATGTAGTTGTAAAAGTCTTGTTTATATAAAAAGTTGTTTCGATTAATGTTTAAAAGGTTACACTTCAGAAAATAACATAATTAATAGTTATTTATATTACAGAATTTTAATTAAGTTATTAATCAGATAAAATAATAATACATACCAGAAAAATATTCGAGAGAAAACACCAGCTGTATCGAATGGGTTACTTGTCTCTTTCCTCTCCATTCTCAAATGATTTCTCAAGTCTACAATTATCTGTACGATGCATACGTAGTCTTACTCATCAAGTCTATACATCTATCAGATGATATATAATACAGTATTTAGTTTAATATTTAAATGTTTAGCGCGTAATTTTTGTTCAGACAACCTTGATGTTTCATCGAGATGTAATTAGCAGTTTAATTATTATTCAACTGCATAGAGATTTGTCACTGATATAATTTAAACTTAAAATACTAAAAATACGTACAAACAAAAAATTATATAAAAATTAATAAAAATATATTTTTTAATAAAAAAAACCAGCAACCAATTCCTCAACTTTCCTCGCCGTAAGTGCTATGATATATTAAGATAAAGTTAAAATTATCTGCAGCACCGTTTAATATAAGATATTAAAAAAATAACTGTTACGTTATTATATATTATAAATTGGCAGAAAGCTTAATTATTAAAATACAGATGAATTAAAAAAGACTCCCTTCTGTCTCCTCACTGCCTGACCTTCTACATAGAGATGTACATAGGGACTAACAGAGCTTAAATCTTCGGCCCCCAAATGTCAAGGGCCTACAAAAATTGTATTATTACCAAAAATTTTTAATACATTTTCATTAACAACGAGCACTTTTCGTATAGTAAATATTGTTAATATTAATAATATAATAATAATAATAATTTATCGTATTATCTGTTTTATCTTAATCAATGTAAACATTTTTAATCTAACAAATACTGGGACTCTATTGCACTTTAATAAACCTTAACCTAGATCGGCCCTTGCTTTAAACTATTAAATTTTATCATCATTCATATCTTTATAACGGCAAATTTCACAAATTTTGTTTTTTAATCGTTACCTCATTTTGAAATATTAAACGGGATACACAATAATACGCACTTACGCACAAACGAAACTTTTCCCTCTTTTTACTTTTCAAAAAAGCAATAGGGATGAAATTTAACACGATTTCCCTCATTATAGGAATAATAACGCAAAATTTAAAATATAGCAATCAATCATTTACATGTGAAATGACATTTCTATAAAATTATTCAACAGTTATTCGTCTTTCCATGCAAATCAAGTACCGTTCACATTGTTCCAGTAAATTTCATAATTGTTATGCACATTGAGTAGAGATATCATCAATAAATAATTTGAAACGAATTCATTATTAACTATTACCAAATATTTTAAGCCGTTTCTTATAATTTAAAAAATCCAATAAGAAATATAAATTTTGAATATATAAAAGAAAACGTTAGAAGATTTTTAAACATTCTTTCACAATTTCCTTTGCAATCGACCGTATCGAGAATGACTTTGCTGAATAGGCTATTCCGCGCTTGTTCGGAGAATCGAATATTTAGGAAATATTTATTGTAAAAAGTTGTCTTTCAATAACTGTGAAAGGACGATTCGAAGTCTTCAAAAATCTTTATTTTTCATAAATATTTTGTACATAGTAGGAATATTATATTTCTACGTTACCCATATAACGTAAAGTTATGTGTTTATGCATATATATCACATGCATTCCTTAATATAATGCATATGAATCAATAATGTACATGATATGCATAAAATGTAAAAAACTCTTTTTCCGTTTTAAATTATTGTTATAATTTAAAAATTATTTAAATAACTGATAGAAAAAAGCACTTATTAAAGAAATACTTATATTATCTGACTTGTATAAACAGGTCGAAGGGTAGTTGTAAGAGTCTTGTTTACATAAAATATCTGTGATATCATATTTTTACATCCGAAATAGGTTTGCATTTAATATTAGATTTATGTTTTGTCATGCACAAATTTTGTTCGGTGTTTTCGTCTTAATTCTGTTCACAGTGCATGCTGTATTATTAAGTTGTACTAAATAAGTAATAAATACTAAGTTATACAAAAAATTCAGTTATTAAAAATTTATTTATAATGTCTGAGTTGTATAAACCGGTCAAAGTGTAGATTTAAAATAGTTATAAAATCGTCTTACTTTTGTATCGCTAGTTGCTGTCTTTAGGATTTATTACTTTAGTTCATGTTTGCAGCTTGCAATTAAAATTACTATAATTAAGAACAGAATAATAATAATAATAATAATAATGTATCTTAATTTTAATTAAGTTGTATGTTTATCGTAAACTATTCATTTTTATTTCTTCGTTATAAAATACAATAATCCAGTAACATAGGCTGAAAAATACTTTTCGGATGGACCCATATATACGTTTCTTTCTCTATTTATTATTTTGTGCGTTAGAAACTGCTTTCCAACAATCTATTTTTCTATCTAATTTGTTATTATAATTTCAGTTTTATGTATTTAAGAATTTTGTGAATTATATTATTTCGCTAAAATGAAATTATTAAATTTTACCTTCTGTTATAAGATACAACTTCAGCCCCAGCGTTTTGCCTTTTTTACGTTAAACTACTAACTTCTCCAAGTAGCAATAATTATAGAAGCAGGTCACCGGCATGGCGAAAGGTCTGGAGAAAACATATAATAAGAATTATACTTATGCAAAAGTTATGCCAGCGACCATTCCAACAAAAGTTTTAGAAGATTAACTCACTTAGCATCCATGTAATTATTCCGCCTGTATATAAACATTTTGAAAGAAACTACGACAGCACCGTTCGGAAAATGCAGGCTTCTTAGTCCCGGCGTGTACCGTGGCTGTCCGTAGATGTTGGATATAACTGAGAAGGCAATTATTGACTTAACCCAACCAAAATATGCAAGGAAAACTTTAACGATAAAAGTTCATAATTGACATATAAAAATTTAAAATTAAACAAACATATTGTTTCGAAAATGGAAAGTTGTATTAATTATAAAAATGAATTTAATTTCTGGAGTAATAAAAAATATGATCGAAATGGGTTGATAAAGATAATAATAATAATAATAATAATAAGCGCAGAGCCCAAACGGTTAGGTGTTGAAAGTTGTATATTAGTACACAGTTAGGGTACGTCACGAGAACGCACACTAAAAAAATATTTCTTGAAATTCTCTTATCACGGGGGAGAGAAAGAGGATTAAGTCTTACCCTGAAAAACTTCGCTTCTATTGTACTATTTCAAATGCGATTTTTTGCGTTTTTGACTGCGTTTTAGTATCTGTAAATTTTCGTCGGATTGGAGAATATTTTTAAATAAAATTGAAGACAGTCTGCCCAAAAGGCACGACCATTTATTATTTTTGTGTTCCAGACAATACACATTCTTAGGAACAGACCTTTCCTTGTAGACTACTTGTTGCCAGAAGTTTAATCTCCATTCCACAAAAATTCACAGATGAAAATCAACATGTATCGTCACGAGGGGTCATCTTTCATCAAATCTACATATTCCAGCGCTTGTTTTTTAGTAGATATAAGCAGTATCACCCCAAACGAAGGTATGATGGATGCAAGAAAGACGTCTGAATGTCACCAGTTCTTTTTTTAGAAATTATTTGTAATTTTAATTGGATATATTTTTTTGTGTTTTTTTAAAGGAATTTTTAAACTTCTGGCAACAAGTAGCCTACAAGGAAAGGTCTGTTGCCAAGAATGTGTATTGTCTGGAACACAAAAATAATAAATGGTGGTCCCTTTCGGGCAGACTGTCTTCAATTTTATTTAAAAATGCGTTTTAGTATGCTACCACATTTAGTAGGGTACCACGGGAAATGAAAGAAGTATATTCCTTAATAATGCAAGTGTTAACAATGGAAATGCTAATAATGGAAGTGACAATAATGGACGTGTTGACAACGGAAATGCAATATATACAGGCGCAGATGCAATTTTTTGCGTTTATGCAAAACATCGAACATATTTTTAGATTTATCTAAAAATTTTGTTATTAGTCTTGAAAAAAGTGGATCTAATTCTTGCATTTTGTGAAAACGGACTTATCGTTGCTTTTTGCCGAGCAGCGCATGGCTTATTAAAGATATTTAATAGTTAAAGATATATTTATATTATCTGAGTTGTATAAACAGGTCGAAGTGTAGTAGTAAGAGTCTTGTTTATATAAAAAAATCTGTTATTGTTTCTAGATTAGATAAGACTTGTCTTCTTTCAAATCAACTGTATAATATACATGAATATAGGTAAAATTACTTCTTGTTGTTAAAAGAATTGGCCATACTGAACCCTTTGTCAGTTTATCCTAACGTATATTATAAGTTTAGACTCGTAAAAATTGTCCAGAAAACGAACATGTAACATGTAATTTGAGACAATCTGTAAAACTGATAATTAAAAAACAATTTTTCCATGTGTAATCGTTTGCAACCTTTCTTGAATACCATTACTTTTGTTATAGAAACATTTGTAGTCAATGCAAGATTTCTCCAGAATGGCAATTTTAGTTTGTAACATTGATGGGGTATGAGCAAAAATTAGAGTGTCCTCAGCATATATTGATACAAAGTAGTAGTGCTTTCACACAAACTGACCACAAAATAAATTTTCAAATTAGAAATATGAGACATACTGTTTACAGATTTTAATTAAATTAATTTTATTTTAACAATAATTTAATATATTCCGTTTAATTATTAAATTTATTATGAAATTAACTGTTACTAATTTCTAATGATAATTTTTAAAATAAAAATTTGTTAAGGAAATTAAAATGTCACAATTTGAAATAATATCACACCCAAACAAAATTTCTTAAACCATAGTAATCACAAGTGTTAATGAAATTAATTATCAAATGTTTTCAACGATAATTATATTTTCTAAACGAGTAGATGTCAATTTTTTTCTAAATGACTTTATGAACTAATTTTTGTTTTGATTATAATCATGTTCTACTTGAATTTTTTTATAGATCAGAGAAAATTAAACATGACAATTGTGATTAAATAAGTTTATTTTATTTAAGCTTTTTCAGTTTTTTCGTTTACTTTATCTAAAACATGACATTTTAGCAACAAATGAAATAAATTTTGCTGATTGTTGACAATATATTCTCGCTCACTTCTAGGTTTTTAATCGTTGGTATTTTAAAATTTCTTATATATTAAACCTTTGTATGTATCAACTAATAAAATTATCTGAAAGAATTTGAAATTCAGCGACTTTATTTCAATCAAACTTTAATTAAACTTTAAGTAAATTAAATTAAGATTACAAATAATTTGTGGTGAAAAAATTGATAAAATTAAAAAAATTAATTTTTTCAA